ACCAAGGAAATTAAGGTCAGGTATTTGGTTATTCATGTCCCTTCTTCTTATAATATGATTATAAGGTGACCAACTTTCAATTAGTTAGGCACCGCCTTTTCCACATTGTATTTATGCATGAAGTATCCGCCTCTGAGAGTCGAGTAGGAGTCATATAGGGAGATCAAGAAATCAACATAAAGTGTTATATAGAGAGCCTCAAGCTAAAAAGTGTTTGCATTCTAGGCACGAACACTAGGAAAGTGAGCTCCAGAATAAAGCCACCTGAAGAAGCTTTCAAAGCTTCAGAGGTTCCCCCTCTATCCACTAAGGAGACTAAAGATTAAAAGGCCATAAGAAATACCCTATGGCACCACTTTCCCTACCGTCATTTGTCTGTTTACTTTATTGTTGTTTATTTATTTTGTTGTTATTTTGATAGGTGAGTATTGTATCTCTTTCATTTGTAAAGATATGTTGTTTTATGAGGTACACTTTTTTCCCTCTGTGCCTTGCACGGGACAAGGATTTTTAATGAGGCCCCTATTTTATTTTAGAGAATATGTGTTTGCTGGCCATTCCCTTTTTGCAAGAAACCCATATCGAATCTTGTATAGCTTTATCTTTTATATTTCACCCATTTTTCCCTTCTTTTTGATAATGTCAAAAGGGGGAGAAGTATGTTTATGCTTGTTATTTCTTTGTTTCTATCTTACTTTAGGTATCAAAGTTGATCAACCCAAAGGATTTCAATGATTCATGAACTAAAGGGGAGATAATCAACCTAGGGGGAGCTTTTTCGGAAATCAACAATCATCAAGTATTTGTCATTATCAAAAAATTAGGAGATTGTTAAGACAAGTCTATTATGAAAATGTTTTGATGAAGACAAATATGTTGGAAAAAAGAGAAAGTATGTTTCATGTTTTAGTCAAGATTGAAGAACTCATTTTCACAAGTTTGTTTTTGATCAAGATATGGTATCTCAAGGAACTAGTTCGTGTTTCTCATCTAAGGTGATATACAAATCAATGTTTATATAACTTAGGTGATCAAGAAACAATTATGTATTTTGATCATTAAAAAAACTTATTTTTGACTTAGAAATTTTTCAATCTTTCTCTTTACTACAATCTATTGTCATATTGAACAATGGATTATCATGTTGCTACTGCCTAAACAATTTTATAAAGACAAGTTTGCAATAATCGATTGTACCCATGTACCAATCGATTATCACTTGTTCAATTTTTAAAATTTTAATGTTGCAGCAAGGATACAATAGATTGTCTACATAGACCAATCTATTGTCACTGAAGCATCATGAAATTTTATGAAACTTTCACACACCTTTTCATTACCTTTTTTTCATGGCATCCATTCCCTAATCATTGCATGATATTTTTGATATTTCTCTAAGAATTTCTATGAATTTTCAAAAGTTATCTTTTGTTATATAAATAGTAGTAAGTTTCATTTTCAAACTTACCTCTTTCAACAAATATTTTAAAACAACTCTTAATGGTTTTTCAAGTGTTCATACAAAAATGACTTAGAAACTTTTACTGCATAATTTTCATACATTATGAAAAAGTTTCGTAAATCATTGATCACTTAATTTTATATATATTCTTAAATTATTCATTGAAAAATAAGATTAAAATTTTAAGATATTGGAAAGTATTCAAATCTGTCTATATTCATTTTTATACAATTTGTCGTATTTTTCACCAAGTGTGTGGTGATTTGTATCTGTAAGAAAGTTATTGCACTTATCACAATAGATTGCAAATAGAGAGGACTATCTTTCTTTTTTGGAAAATATTCTTTGAATTGGGGTGATTCAAAGTCCTCCATAGTTGTTGGCGTGTTGTAAAAATAAGGAAGTGATGTACTTCTTTATTGTTGTTAGAAGATTGTAGGAAAAGTCTTGGTGTAAGACTTGTACAAATATCTAACAATAGTAAAAATCTCTCACAAGGGTGTGAGGGGACAAGATGTGCCCTTGATGGGAAAAGGGAACTAGTATAATTCTCTATGTCACTTTATTTTTGTTGCACTTTACTTTTCTGTTTATCATTCGTTCGTCGTTCATAATTCTGGAAAACTTTAAGAAACCAGAAAAGTATTATAAATATCTAAAAACATATTTAAACCTAATTCACCCCCGCCTCTTAGGTTGCACACTTTATACTTACATAGGAGATTTTGTAACATGGGTATGTAAACTATAATATTTTTTAATTTGGTTTAAAAATACCATGTTGACTCCTAGTGATATGTTTTGTGTTAAGGTTGGTAGATGGACGAAAGATTGTTTGGAATTGTGTTGTCTGACTGTGTAATGGGGGGTGATGAAGGGAAATGTGAGGTTGGGATTGATTAAGGCCGGTTTGAAGGAGTAAGTGGAGTAGTGTGTCGTTCGGTTTGAGGGGGTATGCTTGGCAATAGGCTAGGGTGGGCTGAATCAGGGGTGAGGTTGGAGTTGAAGGGAGCGTTGGCTGGGAATTTTTTGGGCCTTGGGTCATGATATGGTTGATGAGGTAAGGAGACAATTCATTTTCTAGAAAGATGTAGGTAGTACATTTATGGGTGTGCAACTTTGCATATGGAAAGGTAGACTCGTCAAACACGACATGGCGATAAATGATAATTTTGTTTATTGTAAATTGACACACTTATAGCCACAATGTTAGACGGATACTCAAGAAATACACAAGAGGTGGAGCGAGGTTTGAGTTTGTGAATGGTACTTGTTGGAAAAAGAGGAAAGCATAAACAACTAAAAACACGTAGGTGGGAATATGATGGGTTTTTGTTGTATAACATGTAGAGGGGTGACTGAAAATTGATTGATTTGTTTGGTAAAATGTTTGAAATACATGTGGCAGTTTCTAGAGCATAATGCCGAAATGAGGGATGTAATGATGCATGAATTAACAAAAATTCAAATAATGTTATTAATAGACCATTTTTTCCCACTCGGGTTTAACATTTTGAGATAAGGTATAAGGACAAGAGAAACGAAAAATATTCCATTAAGTTCACACATTTTTCAAAAATTATTAGACATATTCTCCATCATTATCACACTTAATTGCTTTGATTTCCCATTGAAATTGTGTTTTGATATAAGCTCTTAGTTTTTGAAAGATAGAATAAACTTAAGATTTATGCGAAATAATGAATGTCCACAAAAAAATTGAATAGTTATCCAAGAATAAAATATAATATTTGTGACCTAATGAGCTTAAAATGGGAGATGTCCATACATCACTATGCAGAATATCAAATGACAACAAGATATTATTTATAGAATTTGCGAAAGGAAACTTAACTAAAATGACATGAATGAAAAACATGAGAATGTAGGTTACGAGATTTGTTACACTCAATCAACTTACTTTTGCTAAGAAAAGATAAAACATGTTCTCCTGGATGTCCCAGAAGATTATGCCAGATAAATTATGACAAAGTTGCAAAGGTGGATGGTTGCTTGGCCTTATTGGTGGTATTATGGTTGGTGGTGGGGCATAGACTGCCTTAGCTTTCACATCTCATGATAAGCATCCCTGACAGTCCTTCACAAAAAAACTAAATGGGTCAAATTCAACTGAAACTTTATTATTTGTAGTAAATTTACAAACAAACACTAAACTTTTAATTAAATTTGGAGCATGAAGTACATTTTTTAAGAGAATAGGTGGGTGGAGGTTTATAATTGTGTACTACAAAGACTATAAATTGGAACATAATGACCATTTCCTATAATGATTTTATTATTTTTGCTCAATTTAAAATAAGACGAAAGGCTACCTAGAGAGGATGTCATGTGAGAGGTAGCTCCAGTGTTCATGTACCATGAGGGGTCTGGCTGAGAAATGTTGAGGGTGCTAAAAGAATTGTCAATATTTATTGGGCTAGTATTGTTGATATTGAAAGCACCGTGTTGAGGTTTAGGCCTGAGAATTCCAACTTGTTGAGACTTAGGACCATTGTTGGGTTTACTTCAATTTAAGGTTGTGTAAGGGAAATGTGGGAAATTCTAAGGACCCCATTATTGCCAAGGTGGAATATTCCATGTCTGCCACTGTTGTTGTCCATGATTTTGTCTCCCTAAGTTGTAGCCTCCATGATGGTTTTTATTGCCTCTATTACCATTATAGTTGGAGTGTGATGGTATTGGGTTAGGGACATATGGTGGTGGTGTGGATATAGGTTCGACTGAAGAGGTTTTTTCCATCAGAGCTACCAGAATAGAAGAGGAGTTGGAGTCGCGAGTTGCACGTTGAAGCATGATGGATTCTTTGAGTTCCAGATGTGATCGTGTCATGGCAAAAGTGGGAAGAGGGTCGTGCTGTTGTATGTATATGAAACATATAACATATGCATCAGTGAGTCCGTATATCATTTTGTGTATCAGACACATGTTGGTAACTGCAGAGTCCAAGTTGGGGAGTTGAGATCATTAGAGTTGATACCATGTAAGAATTGAATCTGTTTTGAACTGGACTGGCAGGTGGCCCACAGTTGGGCAAGGCCCAATCCATTCCAGCTTTAGACAAGGCCCAACAAGGAGATTAGCACCACCTAGCCGTTGGGCACAATATAACCGTTGGGAACAATATAGTCGTTGGGGAGAATACAACTGTTGAAGCATTATAGCCGTTGGGGACCTCCCCCTCACGCGCACCACAGTTCATGCGACCAACTTCCCCTCTGGGATCCCCGAGGATAGTTGGACCAGGTCGAAGATCACGCGCTAGAATATTCCTTGCTCCTTGCAAACCTGGAAGTCTCTCATTGGTGGACCAGATATCTTGGCCCACAATGAGGACTTTGACTCCGCGCTAGGGGTTTCTTATAAATACCCTCTCATTTGAGAGGGTCAGGTATCCAATTCATTCTAACACAAACCTAAACACTTTGTACTTACTCTCTCTCCCCTTCTGATTCTTGCTTTAGCATCAGAATACCTTGCAGATATACCCCCCTCCTCTCCTACAACCATCATTGCTGCCCTATGCTAAAGGCCACGCCTTCCAATCCTTCCCATATGCCAACATACGAATAACAGCAGTGCATTTTTGTAATGGTGAAAGACTTGCCCTACCTGTTGCATCAACCATCATTCGAAAATACTCATCATGTTGACCTAGAGCTTCAACAATACGAAGGAACACATGTTTATGCATTCGGTACCTTCTATGAAACTGCTCATTTGTGTATACCAGAGTTTCTGAAAAATAATCTTTGAACAATCGTTCATGTCCCTCTTCACGATTCCTCTCTATATTCCTTCTTTGACGCCTAGGCCTTCTAGAGCTCGGGGTTTCTTCTTCCATAAACAACCTCACAAGTTCTTCATCCATGTCATCATTCATATAATCCATAAACATTTTTGCAATGTGGGAAGGATTGGAAGGATCCATGTGAAAAGAAGTTTGATATTTAGTAGAAGATGATAAGAAATTGTAAAAAATGCAAGATGTTAATACTATTTATAAGACTACTTTAAATAACGACTAGTTTGAATAACGGCTAGTTGGACTTTGAATAACGGCTAGTTTGACTTTGAATAACGGCTAGTTTGAATAACGGCTAATTTGATTTTGAATACGTAATCATACTAATTAAGTCCATATTAATTAATTCCAAAATACATAATCTTACTAATTAAGCCCAAAATACATAATCTTACTAATTAAGCCTAAAATACATAATCTTACTAATTAATCCCAAAATACATAATCTTACTAATTAAGCCCAAAATACATAATCTTACTAATTAAGCCTAAAATACATAATCATACTAATTAAGTCCATATTTTTCTCTAATCATGTCGCACAACATATCATGAGCTTGTAGTTGTCTTGTATCCATATTTGATGTATCTTTTAAGAGTATTTGCAGATCATTCATCTTCAATCTCTCCTCAGCACTCCTAGCCTTCTTAATCTTTGCATCAACCTTTTTTCTCTCTATCTCAACTTTTTCACCCTCAATGCGTGCATAGTCCCGTGCAAACATTGACATCAGATCAAAATTTTTTTAAAGTCATCTTTCAAAGAATCATATTTGACATTGGGAGTAGAAGACATTTCCATAAGCTTTTCTTTCTCCTTCCTTTTGGCTGCCTTTTGACCGATTGGACGGCGAGACAAAGTAGGGGATGATGGATCGTGTTCGCTGCTCATTTGTGGATTAGAAGATGAAGAATATGCTCCTGAAGTTGAATTCTTTGTTCTTTTTGTAGAAGCTTCTGATGAACCTGCGAGCCATTTAGGTTCATCTTTCAATAATCTCCATGCAGCTTCAAAAGTAAAATTTTCACCTTCATCTTGGAAATAGATTTTATATGCAGCTTGCATGATATTGCTCTCGGAACTCCCACTTTGTTGTGTAGACACAACTTGTTTGTAGCATCCAACAAACTTTTGAACAAATGGATTGATTTTATGCCATCGACATTTTAGTTGCGCCGGTTTCCTCTCTTTGTAGTTAATGTCACGATGCTTGTTGTAAGCTTCACCGATCCGCTTCCAAAAACTATCTCCTTTTTGATCAACCCCAACAATTGAATCTTTTGAAACGTTGAGTCATGATTGAATGAGAATTTCATCCTCTTTTTGTTGGAACCTTTGTTTATGCGTATTCACAACACGTACGGATGCAACTTATTCACCAAGGTTAACTGTTTCTAAGCTACCTTGAGTGCAAAATTGTGGTGTTTCATCTTCTTGATCATTTGGTTGCGCATCACTACTACCTATTTGAGCCCCACGAGGCATAATGGGGTTAGTTGATTGAGATGTAAATTGTTGATATTGATATGGATAAGGTGGTGGATGATATGAGTAATTTCCAAAGTGTGGATTATTTTGTGGATTTAGGATAAAAGGTGAGTTTTGAAAATTTGGATTATGGTGTGGATTTGAGATAAAAGGTGTATTTCTAAAATATGGATTACTTTGTTGATTTGGAATAGAAGGAGGGCTACCACTATTTTGCATAAAATTAGACCAAGGGTTATGTTGATTGGGATCCATTGACAAATAAATGTGTAGAAGAAAAAATTTAAGATGAGATAAATTCAATACTTTAAAGTTAGACTAGTTGTAAATGAAAATTGTAGTAAAATTAATAACCTATTTATAAAAATGAAAAATATTACCGTTAGTTTATTAATAAATTAAAATATAAATAACATAAGTGATTAATTTATAGATAATATAGTGATTAATTTAAAATATTAATAAATTAATAACCTATTTATGAGATAAATATTGCAATTATTTACTAAAATATAAATAATATTGTGATTAATTTATAGCCGTTACAATTTAATATTAAATTATTTACTAAAATATTACCGTTGAATTATTTAAATTATTAAATTATTAAATTATTAAATTATTAAATTATTTACTAAAATATTACCGTTACAAAGTATTTCAATTTAATATTAAAATATTTTAATTTAATATTGGCATGCAATTGAAATATTACAGTTGAATTATTTCATCAAAAGAAAATATTACCGTTAGTATAAGTCTTGTTGACCGGGAGGAAGGCAGAGTTGCGAGCATCATGGGTGTTGTCACAACTTGCCATGGTCGGAATTCGGAAGGATTGTTTTGGTCTTGAATCTACAATGGGAGAAAAGATGGGGATACAAGGTTTCTCACAGACGACGCCACTGATCTTGACTGTTGATCAGAACTTGAAGTGGGCCAGAGATAATCGTCTGTGATGCTGAATGTAAGAGAGGAAGAGGGGTGTACCTGCAAGGCACTCCGATGCTAAAGTAAGAATCGGGAGAAAGAAGGCAAATACAAAATATATGTGTATAAAGGTGAATATTAAATACTCGACCCTCTCAAATGAGAGGGTTTTTATAGTGCCCCCAGCGCTTGACCATTGGTCCCTATTTTTGGGGCGAGATAACCGTTTCCCAAAGAATATGTAACTGCTAGAAACTAGCCGTTGGGACGGGCATATGTGCCCATAACTAGCCGCTGCTACGGGCAGAGACGCAGTAACGGACACAAGCGTCTTGACTGTTTCTGGATGGTGGAACCGTGCGTGATGGAAAAGGATTGACGAGGAGAAATGCTGACCCAGGGATAAACCGATCAACCTCCCCTATTAGAGGGGCAGAAAGTTAAATGTTCCCGCAAATTGGTTGGATTTAAGTAATTAGACCATTCTAAAAGTAGAAATAAATTGAGTCATGACTAATAATTGGAGCAGTCCAAAACAAAAACTTTATCGAAAAACTTTATTAAATAAGTAATTTCTCTTCTTCAATTTCCTTCCACTTTCAACTCAAACAAACAATGTATAAAGAAAAAAAAGAATATACACTTTTACATGATCTGTATTGTAATTGATTGTTATAATTTAATTGAAAGATGATCTAAAACTTGTTTAGACGGAGTACCTATAATCTCAATGTATAAAAGAAAAATTAGTTTTGATGCCTCTCCTTTTCTCTCTCTTGCACACACAAGTAAATATTGTGCAACCGTCTCGCTTCACCTCGTCTTCCATTTTCGAAAAATCGAATTTTCGTTCGCAGTTGCACCTCGCAAGTTTCGAAGCCATGGATGAAGAAGCCGCTCGTCCCATCAGAATCATGAACTTTGTCTCCGAAGAGCAAGTAAGTAAACTCTCTTCATTCACAAACTCTCCTGCTTCAATTTCCCCTCTTTTCTCGAAAATCCACGAATTATGCATAAATTAGGGTTCGTTGCCAAATTTCTCATCTACACATGGTTGTTGAGTTCGTTTGTTTTGTAACAGTTGCTAGAATCGAAAAAAAACAAGAGGCGAACGGGTTGAAGACGGTACTGCCCATAGGGATAGACCTCTCTACGAGGTTCGCTTTTTCATTTCTCTCAACGAAGAAAGTCTTTGATTATGAGAAAAATTATTACTTACTGATTAAGTTTGGGTTTTCAGATTCTAAAGGAGAATAAGGATAAGAAGGATGCTGAATTTAATGAAAGGTTCAAACATAGTGAGTAATAGCATTCAACCAGCATTTATGATTTATGATGACTTGTTTGTGAAAATTTGTTTGGATTATAAAATATTGGGCTTCTTGTATTTTACAATAATACAAGTAAATGTGATTATGTATCTTGCAATGTCAACCGGTGTTGTCAGATAGTGGCTATAGTGGAATTCGAACAAGCCACTATTGTTCAGCAACACATAATTTAGTACTAAGTGTTGTCAAATAGCATGTATACGTGTTGTGGTGCCGTAAAGTAGGAAAATTTGAACAAACCGCTATTTTATGTAGTTATCCATTGACAATATTGATGCCAACTCTCAACTGTTAATCCTCTCATGTTTACTTGGTGCTGTACCTGGGGGTGGAGGGAGAGGGGAGACAGGTAGGTGCTATGGCTCCCCTTCAAGTTTTTAATTTTTTTTTAGAGTTAGGTAGTCAACTACTTTATGACCCCATGATTGGTTAACTACTAAGCAATTTTTTTTTATGAAATTTGAGATTTGGAGTGATAGAATGAGAATTTTAATACTGAACTTAGCAAAAGGCCTGAAAAAAATCAGCAAATCGCTGTTTTATTCTGCATCATATTAAATGTATTATATTGTACTTGCGAAAAGTACAATAGAGTGGATCGAACCGGCGATGTACCGGGCGAAACCCTTTTGTTCGCTGATATGTGAATATATCTTGAATATATTTCAATATTTGAACCTGGTGAAGTTATAACTACTCAAGTTGGTGTCTTGGAGGAGGGCACTGTTACCTTGAATTCTTAAGAATGGTTTGGTTGGTAAGAGTGAAAATTCAAGTTCCATGAACATGTTTGCTAGAACTTGAGTAAGAAAACATGAGATCGTCAATATCTCTAACTGCATATGGATGCTCATACATCTAACATTTATTAGAAAGATCAAAGATGTGGTCAATATGCTCATTCTAAACTAATTGGTTGAGCAAAAAGGTTGGGATAATTAAGTCAACTTTCAACCTGTCTATTACAGTTTTAGAACAATAAAAAACAAATAATTATTATTACTACTTCTACTTCCACTTCCATAGTATATATGTATGTAGTCAATAAATAAGAACAATAAGCCACACTATGAATGTCGAGGTGGAAAACTACCTTTTGATCCCTTGGTCAGGAACCAAGAGCCATTTAGCTGCAAAAGTACGTATATTGCATGAAATTTCTCCCATGGTTGCTTACATGTTATCTTAACTCTCGTGACATCATCATATAAGTATTAGAGCTTTGCTCATGTTCCGTTGAATTTTGGTTCCTGGCTCCACCACTGGCTGTACCTTTTGAGACGGGCATAGTTTAAGCTCATTGTTTTACTAATGTTCAGATTTTGCCCCCCTTACTTTTTCTCTCTTCTACACGGTTTCCTTTTGTAGTAATCTTG